AAATATCTATATTAAAAATTACGAAGTAAATCTGAGAAACTTATTTAATCGAATAAATTCCAGAAGGGATTAAGCATGATTTAATTCGCAATAATAAAAGAAGGCGTTATCTTTGTTGTTGCGAAGCTTAGTTTCTCTAGATTGGCAAAAAATCCGCTATTTTGTCAAGTTTGAAATGTAAACAAACATGCCCACCATCGCAAAATTCATTAGGCTTAGCCGCACTTTAAACAACTTTTAAATTGTGGATAACTCCCCAAATGTTGCATGCAGATTTACTAAAAGCATAAAATCTTAACCGGAAGATAAGAACAACATAATTCAATCATTTTTAAAGCAAAAAATGCACAGTTTACAAACATATAAAAAATAAAGAAACTGAGCTTACTCAGCCGAGTAACAGAGTGGATATATATATATATACGTTTGGTGCGGCCGATTGCAACCAAAATACGAGCTGCACATCTACATGTTATAGCAGCCCTACATACAAAATTTCAACGTTCTGAGGCTACTCATTTTTGAGTTATGCGAGATACGTACGTACGCACAGACGTCACGAAAAATTCTCTTCAGAATTCATTTTAAATCAGTTTTATAATTTTTTGGGGGGGAAACGTCCTTTATGCTGTCCTTACTTGCGGATGTCAGGCAAAAATATCATTAAATTGCATTGGATAGCGGTCAAATTGGATATTTTTGTTGAAATACGATACCCGAAATTTTTCGCGATTACTATACTTCCTTTTTACTTCGTACAAGGAATTAAGAAGAGGGAGAGAGATATTGAAGAGGAGCCTGTAGTTAGTATTGCCTCCCCTCCAGACGCACGTACTTTCTACGGTGCTTTTTAAAGTAGTAAAATTATGGCACCCAATATTCATTTGCATGTGATGAAATGGCTTAACTGACTTTTACAATATTTTCCAAGTATTTTAATATATTTTATCATTGCTTTATGATATCTAGCTCCGAAGAAAAACTTGCGATGACTGTTAAATTAATAAATAACTAAATGTTACTAAATTGATGTTCCTATCGATGCATCTCCTCATTATATAGTTTTATTTCAAATGAATAATATCAAATTATGTGAACTGTTTAAATACAATATATTTAATGTCTCATTTGATTAACAATTATTTTTATTGATTAATTAATGAATATCATTGCTATTCTAATTCTGATAAATGTTCATTGTAATGTATATGTGCTCTCAAGTGGTAAACTGTATACAACTATAGTATGTTACTTAAAATAGGAACTTCAAGGGCTATTACCTGCTGCCCGGTTTGACTCGTAACCATGGAAACAACAGTTGGAAAAACGTCAAGTCGGTTAATTTTTTCCCCACTTCATTTCCGCTTCGTTTCATGAAAAGCGCGCGAATGAAGGCTAACTGTCTCAGATGTGACATTTTACAATTCCAGGTGAAATGGAGAAAATAAATGCTATTCAGTGTTACGATCGCAAATAATTCGAGTTACCATTGCAAATGATTCGAGTTACCATTGCAAATGATTCGAATTACCATTGCAAATAATTCAAGTTACCATTGCAAATGATTCGAGTTAGCATTGCAAATGATTCGAGTTACAATCGCAAATGATTGGACTGAACAGCCTTGAAGTGCCGATTTCGAAAAAACAGTCTAATTAAGCTTCAAGTCCAAAATTTATATTAATTATAAAACACTTAAATGGATGGTTATTGAAAAATTGCTAACTTTTAAATTGAGGTTCAGGAGAAAGAACTGAATTTTAAGTGTGTATTACTAATAATTATGCAATAGTATGTTATTGAAAATGCCATCAATTTTATTTGCATCATAAATTTGAACCTAACAGAACTCAACTGAAGAATTTTCGATTATTTATAGAAACTGTAACTGAATTGTTTAGATTACTGGGTTAGATTCAACAAAATGTCATCTAACCTACACTGGTGTGCAAAAATTAAGGACGAGACGGTTTTTTCAATATAACTTTGCACAAAGCTTCCCAAATCATCACATTTAATACCGTAAGATCCCCAATACGTAAGGATATGAGTAATGTAAGCAACACTTACTAAAAGAGAAATCAGAGGGATAAAAAGAAGCTTTATTGAAAAAGTAGCATGGAGCGCAATGCGACTGAAGGCCGAAACATTCCTGTGATGGGTGTCCAGCAAGAAGCATCCGGTCTTTAATAGGGGATATGATCATCCCTGACTGCTAGGCAGGTTTCACAGCGTCTGCCCATGCTGAGAATGAGGGTGTCAATGAGTTGTTGAGGCATTGCTGCCCATTCGTCTTGCAGCGCCAATCGAAACTCCGGAATCGTTGCTGGTGGTAAGGTACGAGCTGCCAAGCGTCTGCCTAGAAAATCCCATACATGCTCGATGGGATTGAGATCCGGAGATCGTGCCGGCCAATCCATACGTTCAATATCCTCACTCTCTAAGAGCTGTTCGGCAGCTACTGTGCGATGACATGGTGCATTGTCGTCCATGAAAAGGAACTGTGGACCCATAGCGCCTCTAAAAAGACGCACATATGGAAGAAGAATCTCGTTACAATAACGGGTCCCGTTGACTGAACCTGCGTCGAAGATGTGAAGGTCTGTACGACTACCAAGCATGATGCCTCCCCAAACGAGAACACCGAAACCTCCATACCTGTCCCTTTCAATGATGTTCGAGGGATGATTGCGGCTTCCCCGCTCTCTCTCAGATGAGTATGCGATGAGAATCGCTACTCAGACTGAATCTGCTCTCATCTGTAAAGAGTACTCGTCCCATTCATTGTCTCTCCAATTCCGGTGTTCCCCGGCACCACAGAGAACGCCTTCTCCGATGGGCAGGCGTTTAGAGGTACACACCGTACAGGGCGTCGTGCAAACAGACCACCACCGTGCAGTCTTCTGGCCACGGTAAAACGCGATATCGGTCGTCCAGTCGCCTGTGTCGTGTGTCTAGCGATTTCTCCCGCTGTCTGCTGCCTGTTTCTTCTGGCCTGTAAGGCAATATAGCGGTCGTCTGCGGGTGTGGTTCCTCGTGGACGACCACTATTAAACCCCCCGGATAGCTGTTCCTGTAGTTTGAAATTGTCTCGAAAGTCGTGAAACGATGCTGTGAGCAATTCCGAACTCTGCAGCCACACTTGTCACACTGCGGCCTTCCTCCAACTTCCCAATGATTCGACCTCGGGTAAAATCCTCCAGATTCGTCTAACAGATTAATTATTATTCGCCATTTCTCGCTGAGGCAGCAACTCGGTGTGATTTTAACTGCTATACGGCGTGCAATCTCTTTGCCAGAAATACTGATCTTACATCGACAACATGCTTTATACTACTCAGACACTCCCCCATTACGTCTATCTGCATATCTGCGCATGTGCTACCGTACATCACCTTACTTAATTTCCTGATTGGTCTTTCTGTCCGCTCTGCCTCTTCGTTCAGCTGATATGCTAATTTTTCCACTTCATCCTTAATTTTTGCACACCAGTGTACTTTTGAATAGTGCATTTCAAATAATATGTAAAACTGACAGATGAAATGCAGTACACTATAAATATATTCATAAATTAAAAGTTTCATCATACTGAATAAATGTGCGTTATTTACACATTTATTAATATATGAATTATTATTTAATTTAATAAATGAAAATAAATATTTCTCTGCAAAAGCAAAACCTCGCTATATGGCGTTAACGATTGTATCTCTGGCCATCCCCATTCGTCCTTCAAGAAGTTGTACACGGCGGTAGCGAATCATCCTGTATATTATTGAAAATCTTCTATCGTGGTGGCACTCTGCTACTAAGCTGTTAATGGAAGTATGCTTTCCGAACGATACTTCGCGCAGAGCTGTTTCTTTGCTGTTGAAAAAATTATCGTCTGAGTGTTAATCAGCTTGCATAGGAACTTTGCAGAACATTGGCACACCTAACTTGCACATGCAGTTGGTCTACTACTGATGGTTACAAGTAAAGCTTGAATGTACAACCCAAAATTATTGATTAACTTACAGGCAATTATGTTAATAAAGTAGGTGCGATCTTCCTAATAGTATTATAAATTACCAAGAACATGTTTCTCTCAAACACGATACCTACCAACTTGGACATTTACCAGCAAGTCATTTATCAACTTGATGGCATAAAAGAATTCTACGGCTTCCGGCCAATGGCATTGCACGCCGACCTTTGACTCCAGTAGGCGTGAGTTGCAGTTAACATATCTATCTTTTAAACTATATTTCCTGTGCTTTCTTTATTTGCATAATCTTATAGTTTGGAAGAATATACGTGACCGGAACCAAAGAGAAGCAAGACAGTATTTAATTTAGCTGTAATTAAAATTAAAAAAGAGTTATTGTAGCTTCATCGTAAATGCACAGTTCTCGTATCAAAAGCTGTGTTACATTCACTTATTCTCTAGAATCCGCTACGAGAGCAAGGATTTTAATACGAGACACACCTATTTATTAATACTGCCAACTTGCATAATCCACCCAGAAAAATAAATAATTTTTTTTGCAAACATCATCAGGCTCGTGGAAGATCTCCAGTACTTTGTATAGCAGTAAGGCGAACCTATGACACGCGAACCCATTTTGGGTGATATTCATCATGCCAGTGACAGAGACAAAAAGGTGCATAATAAAAAAAAATTGTGTCTTGCAACGCCCTCGTCATTGTCAACAAACATGTGCTGCTCTTATTCGTGTGCGTTTGAATGCATTCACGGCAGATGGATAACATGGTTGGCAGACGGATGATTCCATATGTGACAGGGCACCAGAGTTAAACTAGGAGATTTCCGAATTTTAGCACGCGAGCTCGAAAGACTCGCCATCGCTGCTCTATAAGAGGAATTTCGACATGGTACATCATGGTGGTGGTACATCTATGGTGCTTGGTACCGTAGCAATAAAGTAGGAGCATTGTTGTGATAGCAGTGATAACTGTTTGATATTTATTACCTCTTTTGCTTTTTCTTTCTTTTTTAGTTGTAAAAGCAAGACATATGCTCCTAGACTACCTGCCACAAGCATTGTTATTGTATTCCATAATGAGGCGTGGTCCACACTACTCAGGACGATCCACAGTGTCATCAGGATGTCGCCAAGAGAACTCATTGAAGAGATCATCCTTGTTGATGACGCTAGCGAAAGAGGTGATTACCTTTCAATGTCTTTGAATCGAGTTTTGCTAAATATCTTTATATATTAATTAGAAATCTGTTCGGTAATCAGCTTTAACATAAATTTGTTTGTAATTAGTAATTAGAAAAATTTTGTTAAGTGTAAAATAGTGCAAATAGCTACTATTGCTTTATCAGCAATGGAAATGTCAACATCTTTTATGTACGAACTGCTGGACTGAAATCTATTAAATTTCACTTTTTATAAAAAAATTATTAGTGGAAAGCTTCAAAACATAAACTCTTAGATATAAAATCAATAATTTTTTGCCATAAGGTAATTCGGTACTTTTCGGTTTCTAGAGCCGTAAAAAATCGCCAAACTATTGTTGATGCCAATGCTGACAAAAATAATTGCGGCAACCCTAATAATTGCGGCAAGAAAGGAAGTATAATAGTAAATAACTATCTAAGATTGATGTTTTAATTTAGATGAAAGGTTAATTTCCTATAATACTTTTTTATTATTATAATTTATATAAAAATTGCTAAACATAACTGAATGGATGCCTGCATCGCTATTTCGCTAAAGAATAATTTCATCTCGTTGGTTGTTCAAACCTAATTTTTGATAATGAATGATGCCTTTTCTTTGAAAATATTCTCGTAAAGTGCAGAATCGCGCACTTATTTGTTTACCGCTTTTTACAAGGGTAAAAACAATTGGATTTTTGTCAATTTTCTTTTACTTTTCAAAGTGAAAATAGGTCGATGTGTACATAGATAAAAATCAAGGGTGTGCGCAGTGCCATTTTTGTGCAATTTTGGGATTTTTTTTTTTTTTTTTTTTTTTTTTTTTTTAAGTGAAAATGGGTCGATGTGCACATGGATACAGAGTATGTGCAATTCTTAAAAACGCGTCAAGCAGTGGGTGATTCTGCACTTTACCCAACATTCTATTGCCGACTTTTCGTCATGGGCAATTCCCAAATTGTTAAATCCATAGGATATCAAAAAAAGGATTTAAAATCAAAAACGGATTTAAAAATTAAACTAGTATTTCAATGGCGTCTTAAGAAGTATAGAACTATATAAACTTACGCAATCTGAAATCAGCGCGTACGCTAGATTTGGCGCGCTGTTAAATGGGCGGGTTTGCTAGATTTGGCGCTTTTGCGCGTACATTTTCGCTGCAATTTTTTTACGGCCCTCGAAACCGAATAGTACCGGTAATTCTTATCCAGATTCTCATACTAATTTTTCCTCTCTATAAGCAATAAAACGTCAGTAACAGTAACAATTTATATGCAGATTGCACTATTCGATTGTATTTCATTTCGTTTATCTCTGGAACGTGAACAATTGAAGATATCAGGAACATTGTTGTCTGCTTTGAAATGTAAAATCTCCTGTTTGTTTGCGATAGTGCAATTTCCATATAGATGGTGATCTTAAGTTTTTCTCCGGAACTTCCTTATTCAAAGAGGCAACATTTCTGAGAAAAAATTACAAACTACCCTAATGTTCTTGTCTAGTATCAGTGAACCTTGCTTGGTTTTGTAGAATGTGCTTTTACTGGGCCTGAATCAAATAGTTTATATGCGCTTTCTGAAAATGCAATCACTGAATTCTCTGTCGCTTCTTAGATAACTGCCAATAAATTACTTAGGCTTTCTGAAATTATTTTTCCTTAATTTTAATACCTGCAACCTGAGGTCTATTTTCAACAAGTCATTTTTTTAGGCGTTATATAAATCCCAGCCAGTTTCTCGTAGAATATCCTCCATGAAATCATTCCTGTCCTTTTTTGAAAATAATCCCTCGCATATTTTACTTTTATTAATAAATTCAATATAATTTCACTCACATCTAATGAAATGGTATTCCGCCATACTGGCGCCAAGAGGTTCATCCGGATTATGTTACCCTACATTTTAAATTCTGGTTTCCGTCAGTAATGAATTCAGAAAGGATAAATAGCATCTCCCGAATTCATCTATCTAATAGCTCCTTAAATTTCTTTCTGCGGGTTTAAGAAAAGACATTTAAACAGATTTTGAGTATTAGAAGACACTGAGTAAAGGAAAATTATACAGGATGATTCTAAATTGTTTTTACAAATTAAGAGGGGTGATAGTACCCATCCAGACGAGCAATAATTACCATAGAACATAGGGTCGCATTCCACTCTGGGAGGCAGAAAGGAGGAAAATTAGGATTCCTACCTGAACTTACAACAGTGTTGGGAAAGCGAATGAACGAGGCGAAAATTTGCGCAATTAGATTTCTTGTTTAGTGAAAAACTCGCAGAAAGTTCTCAAAATGCCGATATAACTCGCTCTTCCATTTCTGGCGTTCGTACATTTCGCGAACGTCCTGCATTGTTTTTTGAGATGGCAAAAGAACTGGTTTCTCCCATTCTTCCAACAACACTGGAAAAGGTTGGATGACTTGGAATCCGACGAGTAAGAAACCACTTATTCGTACAATTTTCGTGCTTCGCATCCATTCCCTTTTGCTTCACCGCATGTGAGATGAATATCTGCGAATTCCTCGTACGTGTACTCCGCCACAGCATTCACGAAAAGTTTCGGACGATGTTACTAAGGTTAATACTTGAAACAATGATGATGTGTCGTGTTTTTTTAAAGTTTGCTCTGATTGGCTTTCTTCGTTACCAATTAAGAGCAGAATGCTGCTTCTTCACAGTGCAAATTTGAGTACGGTTAATTCTTGAGAGTCCGTAGGAGACAGTTTTCTTATTCTTCCTCGATGTTCTTCTGCTCTCCTCATTTCTGCATCCCAGAGTGGAATGCGACGCTGTGTTCTATGGTAATTAGTGCTTGTCTGGATGGGTACGCTCACCCCGCTTAATTTGTAAAAACAATTTAAAATCATCCTGTGTATAATATTATTTTAAATGTATACAATGTTCTTCTAGATCAGCAAAACGTTAAAATAAGCAATCAATGAAATACTATTCTACTATACTACAAAAATTGCACAATGCGCATGCGCTCATGAGCTACGATCACCGCTGACCAACTTTTATTTAAGCATAAATAAATGATTTATCATTAATATAAATTAATTTTAATACACACATTATCCAGGGTTAGCATGTGTATAAACTTGATGAGTTTGTTCTTTTCATATATCTTTCGTGTCAAATGTAAATAATGCAAATAACTACTATTGCCTCATCAGCAATGGAAATGAAATACTTTTGAAAATATAGCCTTTTCCAAAACGAATGGTAACCCTGTATTAACCTAAAAGAATTTTGTGGTATGTCACAAAACATTTTAAGTAGCACAGGCAAATTATGGAGAAGCAAAAAATTCGCAAAATCCCATAAACATGAATTGCAGTAGCAGAAATTTAACATAGTAAGTCGCAAATTTGCGAAAACTCACACGATTTGGCAACTCTAGATATTGCAGTTTCAATTAAATAATGCCTACATCACTAGATTTGAAATTATCTGTCATTTGAACTACTCTTATTCGGAGTTCAAATGACAAGTAATTATAAAAAAGCCGGAGGTAATTTATTTCGGTAAATTTGCGAGTTACATGTCGGTCCTTTCCTTCCTGGTATCAATTTCATATGTCTGAATTTATTTCAAACATAATTACTGAAAACGTAGCAACTGTTTAGTCAGTATTTTATTTTCAAAAGGAAGTTCTTTCGGTTGACTTAAATATACATTTCCAGCAGAGCAGACGATAGCCTGCAGAGCAGACGATAGTATTTATCAAGTTCTTAAATAAAAGCAGAACTTTTATAATTTCCAGCAGAGCAGACGATAGCCTGTCTAGCATTTATCAAATTCTTAAATAAAAGCAATGTCTGTATTTGTGACAGTTTAGTAGCAATGATATATTGATATCGTTTTTAAGTAATTGAGATTACTCAAACTTTACTATGGAAACAAAGTAACTGAGGTATGTACTTTTCTTAAAGCAACTTTTAAAGCGTGGCGTTCTATCAATTTGATATTTTTATGCCGTAATCTTTTACCCTCGTTTCATTTCTAAAGAACGTAAAATGTGCTAGCAAGACTTAATAAAGTATTCATTTCCATATAAAAGATTTACGTAAAACTGCATTTACATAAAAATAATTTTACGTAAAAAGGATAGTTCTAACTTCTCTTTCAACTACTATGTCATCACTTAAAATTAATTATTTCTGCTGATTTCCAACCTTTTACTTTAATAAGTGAAGAATTCTCTTGAGCATTTCTATGATGTCAACAGCAAGGATATTATCAATCATCTCTTTGCATTTTTCCCATGGTCGTGTTCAGCTCTTTACTCTAATTGCTATGTGCATAATGAATTGAATTCATTTCAGAATTAATTAATAATTTTGTACTATAACGCATAAATTAAAAATACCATATATATATATATATAGTAAGAATTCTTGGTCAATATAAGCTTATAAATCTTTCACGCAGTATCGAATATCGAAGTATGATGAACTAGATGCATGTCAGTAGGATTTTACAAATCATATTCCTATATGAAAGTCTTATTTTTCGTAATCAAAAATCGAAATGTAAAAAACTGAGTTGAAACAAACGTTTGTGGTCCACCAGTATCAAGAACTTAAAATCGTTAAATTTTGATAGTTACATCGAGAATTATTTTACTTTTGAAAGGGGTTACAAGTGATAGTTCTTTGATTTAAAAAACTGATGAATAGATCTCTTGGAAATGTGCACTTCACAAAAAAAGAAAATGCTCTACCATAAGCAAATAACTTGAATAACCAAACATGATGTGCTGTTGATGCTTTGTTTCATAAAGAATTTTTTATTTTCTAAAGCATCGACATCAACATTTTTCAACATGCATCATAATATTTTAGGACTGAATTTTTATTCTGAATCCAACGAAGCTGTAAACCAAATTGTGGCATGTTTACAAACACATCTTAATTTGACACCATTAAAATACCATTTGCTTATGGAAAGAAAATAAGTATTGTTGCGTTCTTCGGGTTCGTGGATTGACTGATGACAACACTTGAATAACAATCAAAACACAATTTGTTCGCCAGTATCATCAGAGTCCCAAACACACGTTTACAGTCATCGAAAAGCTACGATAAACACGCTGAAACGATCAGCAACACAGCCTTCGGACTATGACGGTGAAGACAGTGTTATGACAAAGCACTAAAGTACAGTGCCATCGACTTGGTTCGGTCGCTCTCAAGCTAATCCCTGAACTCTACTACTCTACTACTGAACTCAAGATACTCAGGATGCTCTCCTACCCCACGTACATGCAGGGTATATATAGCTATTGACCTGCCTTCGAGAATATTCTAGGGAAGACCGGTAAGAATTCATTCTAGAGTGTTCTCGCTCCGTTTATGGCCTTACCGCCAATTTCTTCGCCAAGTCTGACAACACTACCCTTTCCACTTTCTAGCAACCCTCATTTAACTGACTGAAAAAAGAAAAGCAAGGATTCTGTGCATTGCAGACAAAAGGTTGAAAGCAATGGTTTTTGTGAATTTTCGAAATTCAAAAAGTTATAACAGGACATCAAATATTGACTTCTAGGAAACAATGCAGAACCTCTGCAGATAGGTAGCAATAAAAAGAATGTGTGTAAAAGATTAAATGATAAATGAGCCGTTTCCTTCCTCTCTCGACATTTTATGAATTCGGTTCTAAACCTCTTTCAAATTCATTGTGGTAAAGGCGATAAACTATCCAGTGATACCATACTAATTTTAATCTTAATTGCTAATCCTCGCAGGATGTAATTATAATACAGTGGAGCCTCGAGATACAAGCACCTCTTTATACGAGAAATTCGAGATACGAGGAAAGTATGAGCGAAAACTTTGTCTCTAAATGCGAGCATTGACTAGAGTAACGAGCGATGAGCCAGGCTGTTGGTTTGCCTGGCGCCATTTCCCGACCCAGCTCGACTCGGAAGATCCCCTCGTCAGATCACTCAGTGTTCTTTGATCTACGTGTTTGTGCGCTTGTGAGTCAATTGTTTATTACATTTAACGTGAAAATAATTATTTCACGATGCCTCCTAAGAAGATTGTTGCCTCAGATAGTGCTGCAAAGAAGACTAAGGAAGCCATGGCCCTTCAAATTAAGAAAGAAATCATAGATAAACATAAACGTGGTGTAAGAGTGACGGAATTGGCTAAGACTTACGGCCTTCTTCCAAGCACCGTCCAAAACTCCTAGAAGCCGTTGTTGGTGTGGATTAACGAGAAGCAGTTAAAAGGTCGTTGTCGGAAGCTATCATAAAGGTAAACTGCGATTATATTATTCACCAGTGTTATTTATTGGAAGTGCTACTGTTACTTTTATGTTGATATTTTCAAGGGTGCGGAACGGATTAACTGGATTTCCATTATTTTCAATGGGGAAATTTGTTTCTAGATACGAGAAATTCGCTATATGAGCTCAATGCTGGAACGAATTAAACTTGTATCTCGAGATTAACTTGTATCGTTATGCCGATTATAAATTTGATTTTTAATATCTTTTGTATGTCTCTTACCATTTTGTCATTATATTTATTATTATGCTCCGTTTATTGCTAAGCGTATTATTTTTCTTTACTGTTAAATGTCTTCCGTTTTAACATATCAGAAATATATAATTACATTGCCAGAAATTAGCAGTTATATTTTGATGTAGGTTTGCTAGTTGAGATATCGTATCCTGAGTTTTTCTTATCGATGTCATTTTAACCTTCATTTCTTATCTTTTTCAGATTACTTAGGGCAGCAACTGGAAGAATACGTTGCTAAATTACCAGTTCCTGTTAAAGTGAGTTGAGATGCATTATTCTGACAAATTTTGTCATGACTGTAACAACATAATTTTATACTCTGTGTTAAAAAAGTTGACACAAAATTCTTGTAGAATAGTTCTTCGAGAGCGGTCAAAATTGATATTTTCGTTGAAATATGATACCTGAAATTTTTCGTTTTTGCAATACTTCCTTTGCTTCGTACAAGGAAGTAAAACTTTAGGTGTTCGTCAGAGATGTAAGATAGTTTTTGCATGAGAGAAATATGTTTCTTATCAAAAAACCAAACTTTTTACTCGAAAATCCTTTTCTCAAAATAGTGAATAGCGCCTTAGTTTGAAAGATGCTTCAATTCTAATTGCCGCATAACATGAGCTATCCCAAATAATGTATGTTCTGTAAAGAGTATTCCTTTGAACAACCAAGTATAAATATTGCAAATTTTACGGTTTTTACGCAGAGGAGTAATAACAATTTTAATTCAGAATCATCTGAAATATTCACACTTAGCTTAAAAGACGTTTTAAGTTACTGATGTGTTTAAAACACGAAAGCTATTTTAATTATGGATATGAGAAAAATAAATGATAAGGTTTTTAACTTGCATTTTCTACATCTAAAAAAACATGTTGGATTTATATGCATTGTAGTCGCCGAACACTGGTAGTTCGGTCCGAGGTTCGAATCCCACGAACGGGCTGGCTGCATGGGTGTTTTCGTGGTTTTCCCCATGTGTAACGTGTATACGAGCCAGTTTCCTTTAAAAAGTCCTCCACGAAGGCATCCCTCCCTTAAGGCAGATAGCCTTCGAGTGCTTTGCCATAATCTAATAAACCAAAACCAAACCTTATATCTGATTACAAATTTGATTTTTAATGTATTTTATATGTGTATAGCATTTTATATATATAATATTATGTTCCTTTTTATTATTAAACATATTATGTATGTAGTATATGAATTTTATTATTTTTATAATTTTGTATTTTAGATATTTTATTGCAGAAAATACATGTAGTAAATATTATATTTAAGATATCATAGTAGTTTGACAGTTCGCTTTATGAATTTTAAATGTATCACTGTGATTTTAAAATATCTGGCAAAAAGTAAAGGCAGGTAAAGGAAACCCAAATGAAAAGGTTTCATAAAGGGATATGTGTGCAGAAATGGTGAGTTAAAGGACTGGCTGGTGAATAAGGAAGGTAAGTAAGAACGACAGGTAAATTAAAAGAAGCAACATTTTAACGATTTACCCTTCTTTACGACAGGTAATTAAACGTGCATTTATTTTTTGTTAAGAATACAATATTCAGAGTGGTAGCGCATTAGTTGGCATACATTAGCTAAAATCTTGGACATTTCACAAACATCGCAATCAAAAAATGACAGTATGGCCACTATATTAGACTCTATGAGGCTTTCGCAAATTGTTTCCACTGTGCTTCTAAAAGAATCATGCTAAACTGTGTTTCTAAGGATCTTCTCTGCTGTGCCTTTTCTATACATGCATGTGAAATCTGGTGATAATGGTGGCAAAGAACAGGTACATGCTGTGTGCCCGGTGCCATCGATATAATCTTAATCATCACCCTTAAGTAGCAGTGAGGTTAATTTCTGATAATACTACTGAAGTCAGCTATCTCTGCATTGTACTAGTACCACATTCGTGTGAGAACAACTGAAGGTATGTACGACCGTTCAAACCACTATCGAACTAAATGGCTGTATGTCATGCCATCCGAAACGTTAAGAAGAATCTTTCCTATTAGGGTTTAGGATCTGTAATCATGGTTTATCATGCAGTCTAAGACGAGAACTGTGGACATTAAAAATATCCGAACGGGCAACCAGGATTTCCTGCAGCTTGCTGATGGTACTTATGGTACTTCAAATAGTTAACATACGGAGGATAATTGTCCGGTTTCAGTGCCTGCACTCTTTTAAGTGATATGGATGCATTTCTTTCTTATTTAAAGTCCTCCAAATGGTTGGTTGACTCAACGCTTGTCCAACAGCTCTCATCAGCTGTCCATCAGCTGTAGCAGGATTATCTAAATCCCATAAACAAAATGTATGGAATAAACTCCACATTCATATGGTCGTGCATTCCATTCGCGATCCGCACAGGGATTGAGTTATCCCAGTAGGCTATTTTACCTGCAGTGCCTTCTACTATCTCAACCTTACAGTGCCTCCTATCTCAAAGTATTATTTCCGCACAAACATTCTGTTGCAAAATCTGCTTATTTCTGCCCCCGCTACCTGCCTTTTTGCTAGATATTTTAGAATAACCTTGAATCAGAGCTGGATTAACCGTTAAGCAAAACAAGCACGTGCTTAGGGCATCGAGGAAAGGGGACACCACAGAGAGGTTCTTGGGTATTCAATAAATAGGGCATCAGAAAATTTCCCATTGCCGGTTTTACAAGTGCATCTAAACCAAAACCTAAAGAAAGAAAAAATGAATAAAAACACCAACGTAAACGTAGGGCACCAAAATATTTAAAGTGCTTAGGGTCTCTAAAGCTTCTCTCTCCTGAGGTTTTTAAATCTTAAGTGGATTAAGCTAAAGCTCCGTTGCTACGCAACAAGAGCTTGCTGCGTCACAAAAACCGGTTTAAAGATTTTTTCTAAATGTTCTAACTTTTCAACTTTATGCCACTTGGTGTAAAAGCCGACCGATCACAGTAAGGCAAACATAGGTCAATGGTTTTGCTGAGTAAGCTACACATTTACGCAGGCGCAACTTTCGCTGCCCTGATTGCTATGACCTTAACTCTTTTAACCCTTTGACTACTAATGGGACACATACACTGAAGTGACAAAAGTCATGGGATAGCAATATGCAAATATACAGATGGCAGTAGTATCGCGTAGAAAATGTATAAATGCGAAGTGCTTTGCCAGGGCTTTCATTTGTGTTCAAGTTATTCATGTGAAGAGGCTTTGACGTGATTATGGCCGCACGACGAGAATTAACAGACTTTGAACGCGGAATGGTAGTTGGAGCTAGACGCATGGGTCATTCCATTTCGCATATCGTTAGGGAATTCAACATTCCGAGATCCACAGTGTCAAGAGTGTGCCGAGAGTATCTAATTTCAGGCAAAACATCCTACCATGGACAGCGCAGTGGCCATGGACAGCACCTGCACTTAACGACCGAGACCAGCGACGTCTGCGTAGAGTTGTCAATGTTCACAGACAAGCAACACTGCGTCAAATAACCGCAGAAATCATTGTGGGACGTACGAGCGACGTGTCCGATAGGACAGTGCGGCGAAATTTGTCTTCCTTGGGCTATGCCAGCAGAAGACAGACTCGAGTGTCTTTACTGACAGCACGACATCGCCTGCAGCGACTCTCGTGGGCTCGTGAGCATATCGGTTGGTCACTAAACGAATGGAAAACCTTGGCTTGGTTAGATGAGTCACGATTTCAGTTGGTAAGAGCTGATGGTAGGGTTCGAGTGTGGCTCAGACCCCACGAAGTCATGGACCCAAGTTGTCAACAAAGCACCGTTCAAGCTGGTGGTGGTTCCATAATGATCTGGGCTGTTTTTACATGGCATGGACTCGGTCGTCTGGTGCAAATGAACCGATCATTGACTGGAAATGGATACCTTCAGCTACTTGGGGATCACTTACAGCCATTCATGGACTTCACGTACTCAAACAACGATGGGATTTTTATGGATGACAATGCGCCATGTCACCGGGCCCCAATTGTTCGCGATTGGTTGGAAGAACATTCTGGACAATTCCAGCGAATGATCTGGCCACCTAGATTGCCCGACATGAATCCCATCGAACATTTATGGGACATCATCGAGAGGTCAGTTCGTGCCCAAAACCGTCAACACTTTCACAATTATGGACGTCTATAGAGGCAGCATTGCTCAATATTCCTGCCTTCGCCGGGCAAAAGGAGGACCGACTAAATATTAGGAGGTATCCCATGACTTTTGTCACTTCAGTGTATGTCCCACTAAAAGTTTAAAAATTACTGCTGAGTTAAAAAGTACTTGGAATCTTCAGAATGTTGGGAATCATCTTCCAGTATTTGGAAAATCAAGACGCCGCTGTACTCGTTGTACACAAATCAACATACAGAAAAGAACAAATATGAGTTGCCCAATGTGTAATGTTGGCTTATGCAAAGAATGCTCTTTACCCTGTACCATACGATGTAAATCTATTTCATGTAATAAAGTTTTCCAGAATAATAGATGTGCTTATAGTAAGTTGATCGCTACGTGTGGGACATATATATCCCACCATTAACTACGGCTGGGATATATGTGTCCCAGCCTTTGGCTTGAAAACCGTTTGCCCAAAAAAATCCCAAACACTGGCAATTTTGCGGTTTCGTTTCCTTGTCATTGAATGGGCTAAATCGCGGTTTTCGTTAGGCGTAGCATGATTTCATTTAAAATGCCTTCCAAGAAAGCGCATATTCTAAAGGGATAACCGTTAAACAATTTTTAGTAATAAATAATTAATCTTATTTGACCCAAATAAAGTTGAGTGTATTAAAGATCAGTGAACAATAATAGTTTTCGCATGTTTCATAGTTGGCGGCAAAAAAAGATAAGCTACGGAGAACATCCAAACTTTTCTAACGTGCCTAACGTGAACTCAGGACAGTTTACTTTAAAAGAAATTTTACTAAAAGATATCTGTTTTGTAAAAGTTAGAATATTTAGTAGTATAAATTAACCTATATTATATAATACTCATTTAGATTTGATTAGTTGCCAACTATGAATTTGTGCTAAAAAGTGTGAATATATATGCGGGAAACAAACAAAAAAAAACCATGCATATATGGCCTCACATCTAGCCCAATGAAACGGCCACAGCGGATGTTCAACAGAGACGCAGACCTCGTGGGGTCTACGAGTTTCATATGGCTAATGTAGATTAACAAGAAGTTGTAAAAGCAACAGTCAGCATAATGACGCGCTATCCATTCATTATAATGATATTTTCGTTTTTGCGCAGGCTATTGTAATTTTAGCCTC